TGATGTAATTTGTATTTAGCATGCACTACAATGGTTAATGGGGTGGTACCCGTTAGGCAGGCCTATGAGCTCTGAGTGATTTGAGACAACAGCAAACTAGGTGCAAAACATCTTCAGAGAACACCCCTATCTGTCCTGCAAAAGGAGTATGTTTGCTACGGAAAACAGACTTAAACCGAAAACAGTGCAGTCTAGGCCATTCAGATATCCATTATTCAAAACTCCATACCTGCAATCCCCTGCATAGGTCCAGGCACCAACATCAACTTGCTACTATCCATGTTTTCTTCATCTAGCCAAATTTATTCCCAAATTTTATAGCCCAGCTCACTGAAGAAAACTAGATTCTAGGAAAGGCTGATATGAAAAAAACAAAACCCAACCTCCAGAAGATCCCAAAACATAGGAAGTTTAAGCTGCTGGTGAGCTGGAGAAAACGTCAAACTGTCTGATGCGATTTTGTTTCATTCACTGCAGCAGATGATTGAACATGGTCAATCCTTGGAACAGCAAAGAAAGAATGAGAGTGTCTTTTATCCGTAGACCAAGCTGCTAGCCACACCTGCACATTACTTTGGGACTGCTTTTGCAACCAGACTCCACATTCATCCAACTACGTGGACAGAGTTGGTTCAGCACAGTGATAAGGTGTTTGGACAGCCTAAAAAGAGGCTTCTTCCGCAATCCTCTAGAAGGACAGAAGATGAGTGGCTCAGAACTACCCATCTGGAGTAATGCAGCTACTCGATCTTGCTGGGATACAGGTCCCTTATCTGTAACAACTACCTTAGAGTATCTGGGCACTTTGAGAATATGGGATTTAAAAGTTAATTCTGGTGAATAAAAAATTTTAGAATGGCAAATCTAAAGTACCATCAGCCACATCCAAAATCTACTGGAACTGGTGGGAGAATCAAATCTTCTACTCCGTCCATAGCTACCTCTGCTAGATTTGAGACACAGGCATACTTAGACCACTGCTGTTGACCAGGGTACACAGATTAATCAATGTCTGAAACCACTAACTTGAACTGATAGGCTCCCCTTCCCATTTGCTACAACAACAAAAATCCCCCCATCTCATCCACAGTCTCGCCCAAAGGTTTCTGTTTCTTCCTCCAAGGCCTTTCTCCATTTGTCCCATAGAAGCAAACTCCTAGATGAGTTCTGATGGACCTGATCCTATGTGAAAACATCAGTTTAAAACTCCTCTTTCACCCACCATTCTTGGCAAGCACCCAGATATGAACCACATGTCTGGTGGAGGAATTCGGCTCACAGACTGTTTTTAATTAAATGCTTGTCTACTGATATTAAACTGAGCTTCAGCGGCATAAGAATGCTGCGAAAATGATTCATCCTAAATGAAATTATTTCCTATGTAATTTACAAACTTTATTTCTTCAAAGTGGAAGAATTCCACATGTGGTAAAACAAAACCCACTTAAATATCTGAAGTTGAAAAAATGCCAGATAATAGAAAGTTGTCAGAGAGAAATTATATTTCATTTTGAGAATAATATCCAAAAGGAAAAAAAAAAGCCGTTGAGATACTTTATTAGCAACTCAGCTAACTCCAGCTACCAGCAGCTCTGTTCTTGTAAAATTATACATCTGCTATGTAGGCATATGAGAAGAAATCAGGCCTGAAAACAGTATTTGAAAGTTGCAAAATAGTAACCACCACTTATAAAATTTTATATTCATTTAAATCCAAACAATATGTAATCTATTCACTTTTCTTTAGTAGCAGAAACAACTGCAAATCCTTTTGTTGAAAATCCATTACTTGAACTCTCATTTTACTGGCTAACAAAGCAATTAATTCATCTGTCCAGACTGCTATTACTTTACTGTATAATATAACTACTGGTACTTCTGCTGCACAGGCAGCAAAAAAAAAATCAGGAGACTCATGCACCCACTCCCCATGCTCACACTATCTGCTAATGCAGGCTTCAACTAGCTATATTTCATCTTAAATATTGAGAAGTTCAAGGCAATCATTTTACAGCTATTCTAAATCCAAAACACAAAGGGTCTTCTTTTAGAATAATATACAAACAAGCTTTTCCCTAATTATCAACCTCGCTGTTCCTAGGTCCATGCTTTAAACTACAGGAACTAATGAGAGCATTCCCTGTCACCAAAAGATCACTGTCTAAAGAGATGCTTTAAATCATTCCTGTTCAAAAATGAGGTATCTAATCTTTAGGAAAACTAATACACTAAAGGAGATGAGCTGATTACAACTTATATTTACACGAAGATATACTTTACTGCAAAAAAGTATATAACAAGACATGCCTAACTACCGTAGGTATCTTTTAAAATATCCTTCATTCAGATTAAACTCTGTTAAAATGTGCATAGACGCATTAGAAAAATTTAAAAGACTTCTTATTTTTTGTAAAAACAATTTGAAAAATTTTATATTGTCTAGATTTACAAAGTCCTGTAACTTGTTGATCAGTACTTCTGTGGGTGGGTTCATCACTGCTGCCTGCGTGTACTGCATGATGCAGATCACTGCAAGTGACCTGCACCTCAGTCAGTGCTGTTGTTCATCACTTAAAATGCTCAAATTTAGTTCCCTTCCCCCACAAGAAAAATACATAAAAGTTAAAATTAAGGCCAGTGTTAAACAGCTCTTGTCTCCCAGCTCTAACAACTGCAGGACACTTTCCAGCCAGGAAACATTTAATCCTGATTTTCTTTATTAACTCGGAGAAACTAGAATCAGATTTTATTCGTATACAGCCTTAATTCTCAATACTTTTAGCCTGTGAAAAGGAAGTTTACTAAGAATTAGTCTCTCTGTCCTTCTGCACAAGTGCCAAAATCTCGCTATTCTATGTACAGTACAGAAGACAATCAGCCTGGACCACAGTTAGTCCCGTCATTCTCTGTGTTGGGGATGAAAATTTATGAGGTGGCACTAAAAAAAATAAAATTGCCTGTGACAGACTAATTGGATCCTATACAGATAAAGATTCCTCATGATCAAAGCAAGAAATAAAATCAAACAGCCACCATCTCCAAACCCCCCACCAAAAATCACCCACAACAGAACTTTGATGTCTCTGTGAATAATTCCACTGAAAGAATAAGGGGAAAAAGTCTTGCAATTAATCTTCATACCACACTGATGAAGAAGGATAGAAAGGATTGCCTTGCAAGTAATAGTCATACTACTCTTCATTAGAGCTGTTTCAATCTGAGTTTTTTCACTCGAATTATATCTTTCATCTTGTTCTCTTTCTTGCCCAAGGGAGAGTCTGGAGTTTCAAAATCTCCATCACCAAATCAGCCTGTTGAACTCATTGAAGAAAAAGCCAACAGTGTCATTGTTCCCGTATACATGCCTAATTTGTATCCTCAGTTCATCAGTTACGATCATAAAATAGGTTATGAAGATGAGTAGACCAAACATACACTTGCTATGAAATGATTTTCCAGCATATTTCAAGATTTCAACAAGTCTTGGTCTTAAGTATCAAGCTGGCTGCATTTGGCCATAAGTTTAATTTTTTTTTCCCAAACTCTGCTGAGGCACTCGTAAGTTGCTCTCCTTATATGGGAGAGGAAAAAAAGCCTGTAACAGACATACAAAAGAGCACAAGGTACCTACTTAATTTTTGTTTGTCAAAATAACTAGTCAAGTGTCAAAGAAGCTACAAAATATACCTAAAATATGACTTCATACAAAGAATAGGTGAGTGCATCAAGTCTTAGAAAGGTACCTAAATCAGTCTAATTTTTTCTCTCCTCCTGCCTTTCAGAGGAGATGCATTACTGTTAAGATTCACTGACACTTACTGTATTTCCAGCATCCCTTCCCTCTGGCTGGTAAGTACAATGAGAACATTTGAAAAAGTCCACGTGCTGAAATTATTACCAGCCACTCTCAAGACTCAAGAAGATGCAATCACTCTAATGAGCAATCACGTTATCCACTGGTCTCATACACCCTGGTCCCTAGCAACTGAAGACCTGCACGCCATCTTCATCGCTGAGGCCAACAGACACATCCTCCTCTACCTCCTCCTCAAGCTGAAGGCTTCCAAAGGAGTACTTATTTCTAGGCATGGGGGAGGAACTCAGCACAATGGGGTTTCCAAACACCAGGGGGTGAGTGAAGGGGTTGATGATTTCGGAGTCAGAATCGCTAGACTCTGTCCCACTGCTAGTGGAGCCCTCCATCATCTGGATGGCAGCCATGTGATCCATCATCCCACTGGCATGCAGCGACTGCATGACTGGGCTCTGCTTGGAGTGCGTCCCGGCTGGCAGACCATTGGCCAGCATTTTGCCTTCTGGAGAAGACATCTTAGCCACCGCGCCTCCTTTGCAATGTCTCTCTGATCTATACTCCTGCCCAGGGGTTGAGGATATCTGGCTCAGGATAAAGGGATCTGTAACTGATTTATTGCAGAGATTTGGGATTTTCTGTGCACGAGGCCGTTGAGAACCTGGAGAATATCTGCCATACCCATGGCAGCTGCCGGCATAGCTATCCTCCTCCCCAGCCCTCACCCTGCAGTCATGCCCATTTTCAGAGACGTAACCCTGTGAGCCAGTTCTACTCAGGTTCATGTTAGGGCTTGACCCTTTGCTACTGGGAGGCAATGGAGTGGCCAGCGGACTGCGGCTCCCCGGCCCTTTAAACATTTCGTCAACCAGTGAGCTGTGCCTTGGCATCCTGGGGCTTCCCCCAGTGTAGAAGGAGAGATTAGCTGGGTTATCATCAAGGTACTCTTCAGAGAGATACTGGGAAGACTTTATAGAGGCTGAGGAATCCCTGTGTCTAGTTCTATTGCGATTTTCATCTCTATAGTGAATATAGGCACCACTGGTCAAATCACCCTCATAATTGTCATTTGTTTGGGAATATGACCGGGTTATTTGTCCTCTGAGGAGATCATACTCGCTATCTACATCACTGCAGTCAATGAAAGGAATGGAGGTGCTGCTGCCATGAGCAGCCCTGGAAGCTGGACCTGTGCTTGGTTGCTGTGACTGAGGTCTGTTCTGCTGCATCCTGTCCTTAGCAGCCTCCTCTTCCTCCTCCACTGTTGACACCACTGCTCCATCCACCTTTCTGCTTTCCTTTGGGCTCTTCTTCAAGGAAGGGCTCTTGTGCTGTCCAGTGTCTTCTGCTGAAGCTTTCAATTCCTTCCCTTGCCGGGAGCTCTGCACTGCTGCAGCATCATTGTCATCTCCATAGGCAAAGCTAGAGCTCTGGAAAGATAAAGGAGGGAAGGCAAGGGAGAGACAAATGGGGATGGAGGGGTGGAAGGGGACAGGTTTGGGAGGGAGGGGAGCCAGAGGGAAAAGGCTATGTGTAATTATGCACCAGAATTTTGCACTGCATCTTGCAGCAACATAGGAGTCTCTTAAAAGCAGAAGAGGTAACCCAAGCTTCAAAATGAATTAGAAAAAAAAAAAAAAAAAAAGAGGTCTCTGATCTTAAGAACAGAAAAATACATAAGCTAAGCAAGGGAAGAGAACGCAGACAGAATGTGGTGATATATAAAAAGGGATATTTGAGGTGTATCAATGCCCTAAGGCATCCATCAACACTAAGAACATCAACCTGTTTGCTCTACTCTTGAGAAACTGGAGGGACAAAAAAGATAAATGTGTAAGAAAAATTTTGAATGCCCTACTTACATACATTAAAAAAACTACATGTGGGCTTTTGAACACCCTACATTTAATCCCTAGAGCATACATGCCACTAATTCCTGGGCTGGCTTTTCTGCATACAGAAGTATGTCGCATTTGCCCAGTAGCCATGTTCCATCTACCTGAGTTTGTCTTAGCAATATTAAAATGCTAAAACATATTTGAAAAGGGCTGCATTTCTAGCAGAATTCTCTGAAGTTCTTAGATTTGCAGGAATGAGCGAGATTGCAAATATCAGAAAGAAGCAATGCAAGAAAAGTGAAGGTGCGGATATCATGCTTAAATGTATTAACCTCCTGTCATTTAGGCTCTATTTAGTGTAAAGTGACTGAAGGTCTGCCTCCACAAACACAGATTTGCACAGAGAAACAATGACAGGTTGGAGCAACTCCAATAACCTAATGAGGGAAATGAAGCTCCTCTGGGGTTGTCCCAGGAGAGTCATCAGCCCACTGTCTGGCTGTGTTTGGGATCCCAGCAACTGGAGAGACCAGAGCATGTCCACATGGACTGGGTGGGTAGATCAATGTGCAATTGCTAGCAAACATCAAACTGGACTAGCTGGCGTGTCGGATAAGAGAGTTGGGAGCCACATACTGGAGCAGCCATAAGTCAGGCCAGACACTGGAAAGACCATGGGACCTGAGGGTCAATTACTGGTAATGTCGTAAGTCTGGACCAGCTATTGGAGAGACACCTTTGATGTGCCATGCATCTGTGCAATCTGTGCAAGTATCCAGCAACTGGAGTGGGACTGTGAGCCTGGGGGCTTGTATGTCCAGGTATCACCCAGTGGGAGACCTGGGGATCCAAGGGCCCACTACTGAGTGTCGAAGACCAGTTGCAGGAGGGATCCATATTGTATATATGTATACATATTTTCCACTAACGACCTTTCATCCTGATCAGCCAAAAAGTGGAACAGGGTGATGCCATTGGCACTGTTTGTGCTTGTAGGGCTGCTGTTTTCTGTTTACCCATGTGGCTGGCTGTGTGTATATGTATTGGATATGTGCATTTATGTGGGTGCCTATTGTGAGTGCAAGCTCAGTCTTGCTACTAGCTGGACCTGGGAACATGCAGCTGCTTCAATCTCGCCAATATTGGGCTATTGGATTTGCAAACTCCTAATGCATAACAGCTATTAACATAAGACAAATACATTAGGTATCTACCACACATAATGGCTTATAAGTCCACAGCTGTAATTTTTCTGAGGAAATAACTATTCTCCTCCCTGGTTAATACAACAAAACACCTTGTCATGGGCAACAAAGGCTCCCCAGTGCAGGAAAAGAATTAAGCTTTTCCCAAATGCAATAACCAGCTACAACCCAGGACCTTAGCAGTAACACTGTGGACTGCAATTTTTCAGATGGTCATTAGTACAGCTCAGACAACCTCACTATTTATATTTGTCTTGTTGTCTGGTAGCAATGCTGTTCTACAGTGGAGGTGAACCTGTTCCACTTGCAAAACCTAAAACTTATGGCACCTAAGGCTTCCCAGCAACCAGTTAAATGGAAAGTGAGCAGAAAACTATGCTCCTAGAGTTTTGAAACAGCAATCAGTGGAGGGTAATCTAGCAAGAAATGTTTAAAAGGCATGATCCAGGGTTTCATCAACATCACTGACTTGTTTTGGCACCTCTGTATGCTGTTCTGAAGGCTGTGCAGTCAGACTCCTGATGGAATGAATCTTGCTGTGTTTCCTGGAGATAAAAGGAAAATCACAGTAAGAAGTCATTTCATTTATTTCTACAAATAGGAATCAAGAGACATGCCTCCTTTCAAACAAAACCTTTGAATAGCAGCTTTCATAAAAGTTTGCTCCAAAACAGATTCACATTCCTCCCTTTTGTAAAATTTAAATGTACTATGTGTTGCAAACATATCATTGTAAGAAAAGAGAGAGGCACTGAAGCAAAAATGGTCTATCACCAGAACATGAGTCATAAGCAATAAACTGTTGTCATGGCCTTTGTGGCATTTTGGCCATTACATTTCAGCTCACCATGAGAAAGATGAATTTAGACAGAACTGGCTCTAGCAAGTTGGAAGCTTTTCCCGGAAATCTCTCCCTTAAGGTTGGCTGTAACTATTCCTGTTACTTTTAGTTTTACCCTGAGATGAATATGTCTGTTCACGTACATTAACCACATCCCACCAAAGAGGGTGCAAATCAATACTGGAGGCAGTTACCTGTCATGGTAGGACACTCACTGCTGAAAAACAGATTGAAGACTATTGATTTTAAGCAAACTATAGGTTATGCCAACTTCTGCCAAAACATTGAGCACCAAGGGGATATTATACAAGCAATAAACTTTCAAACCAGCAAAGAAGGAATTTTTTACTTGGACTGGTGACAAGATCTTGGAATGTAACTAACAGGAAATAATGACTTTTCTTTGAGTAAAACATATCGGGACAGCTCATTTATATCCTCTCACCTTTCAAACTGCACTTTTTTGTGCCCTCCTTCTTTAACATAGTCAAGAACTTGCTTCTGAGTCCGACCACTGGAAGAAAACCACAGTTAAAATATTTAATACAATATATCACCTGGTCGTCATAAACATGTATGTGGCCTGCATATCAAGTCACAGCATCCAGAAGAGTATTCCTCACTACCAGCAGAAACTCATGTAAGATCATAAGGAAGGGGATCTGGTCAGATATACACAGATTTTTATCATTTTGCATGTTACTTGTCCCTTTTTTTGCTATGGAGCTACTTTTTGATGCCATTTCAGAACTGCTTAAATTTAGCTGTGTGCCCTTTATAGGGTACTATGTTACTGGTAAGTCACCACAATAGAAAGGAAAGCAGGAGTTAAGTTTTCCTTCTATGAATAAAAAACATTATTGAATCCCTTTGAGTCAAATACCAGCCTCACGTGGTATCAGTAAACCCTAGAACCAGGATGAAAACTGCTCAAATGCTTTTTGTGACTCAGTTGTTAATATTAAACACATCAACTACACATATATACATTTTCTGCAGAGATTTAGACTGGAAATCTCTTTCTCCCTTTCTGCTACAGGACATGAAAAACTAGTGAGAAAGCCCAGCACTTTCTATTGTGCAAACTCCAAAGGGAGCTGAGAGCAGTAAAGGAAAACCACACCTCAAGTATGCTCAATAGAGAACCAAATCCTTCCCATTCAGTAGAGCCTTTCAACTTAACTGAATTACCACAAGGCCCGGAAAAAGTTACCGCATGGATGTACACAGATCACAGCAAGTAGAGGATGTAGCCAAAACCCACTCTCCAAACCAGAAGGTAAGCCAAACATACCTACAGTCCTCCATTTACTCAGGTAGAAACTTAAGTTATAGCTTGTTTACCCTAACCTGGGTCCTTCCATCTTAATTAATTTTCTTTGCAGGCAGGAAAAAGTAGGAGGAGAGTCAGAATGGCTGTATCTACTATGTTCTTGTGCAAAGCAACTAGAGTGTATGCTTTATCCCCGCAAAGAGGGTTTCTGGCTTTTCAGCTTATATCAGCTTTGCAAGCAAAATGAACTGTACGAATAAAAAGATTTCCCCCCTGGCATACACAATACAATATCTACGATGAGGCTTCTGACAATATAAGGAAAAAAAAACCACCAATAACCCAAATATTAAAAAACTTTTCTACAGCTCTAACAATATCACAGGTAGACTTGGCCTTAGCATAGGTGGCCATAAATCCTTTGCAAGTATAAAGGTCTCAGCATAAAGAGAAGCTGTTGCTTTTAACTGCACAGTGATGAGTCTACCACAGGAACATGCAATGAAAATACAAATTTCTACTCTGATACATAGGAAAGATCCCATCCTAGAAGCAGAAGATTCAAAGAGTGCCAAAAAGTTGCTAGCTGGTGTCACTTTGGACACAGGAGGATTTTCTTATGTGAAACCAGCTGGAACCTATATACTTCATATCTTACCTCCAGAAAGCTACTTTGCAACAGCTACTACAAAACGAATGCAGGCTTTTTCCCTATAAAGTTCTTTGCACTGTTCTGGCTGAGAAGATTCAATGGAAAACATAAAGGAGCAAACTGCAATGTTAAAAAGGGGAATTGAAAATAACAGGTGGATGTGATTTTGAAGTGAGGATGCAACAAAGGTGGAAAGAAAAATGCAGGTCTTACCTGAACCTAAATGATGAACCTCTAGAAAAAAGAACAGGTTTAGGCTTTGGTTTAGGTTCCTCAAAAAGCCTGAAAAAGGCATGATGTTCCACACAGATCTTCCAGAAAGACTTGCAAAAATCTCGACTGGCCATAAGGAATTCCAGGGTGTCCTGGAACGAACTCTGAAAATTGAGATAGCATTTGCAATGTAAGCTAGCAAGCAACATACATTACAGAGATGCATTGACAAAGGAGGCACTATGCTACAAAAATGAGCTTTTATTCCCAACTCATTGACTTTCAGGCTTTACTAACAAGCCCTACACCCTTCCCACTTTGAGACTCCACTCATCTGTCTAGCAGTATCAAAGCGACTGCTCAAACTTCCTTTCATTGGCAAACATGACAGAGAGAAACCAGTGGTCTTAACATTAATGAGAAGAAGTGGTTCACATGCTGTAACTTAAGAATTGATGATAAAGTACCAGAGTCGCAGCCAGAAGATGACGGTGTGACATTCAGTTTGCATTTCCTTTGCTAGGACTGCTCACTTGAGATGCCAGGTCGATGTGTGCAGTACCAACAGTGAATATAAGCAATTAATTAAAAAAAAGGTCTTCTTAAGGTGATAAAAGCATATGTTTGATCTGCAAGTAGGGATTTCCCAAATAACCTTTTGTCAACTTAATCAGTTCCTGACAAGGACTTACATTCACATCAGGCCGTAGTTTGATAAGAAAACGTTTCCTCTTGAAGCTCAGCTTTCGAACCTTAGCCCAGTTGAAGGCATTGATCTTGGTGTGACCCTATAGAGAACAAAGCCAGCAGAGTTTAAGCACTCCAGATCCAAATGGAGAAATCTAAGCCACTAAAGAAAGCTTGTCATAAATTAATCATCTGTTCACTTCACTTGAAATTATGATATTTCTTATTATTCCTCCTCTGAGAGTGCAAATCATAAGTATCTGGTGCTGTGACTGAGAGCAGGTACTTATGGTTAAACTCTTGCATATTTATAGGGCTAAGTATAATGAGTTGATGTGAAAGTATCCGACCCACTATTAATGTGCAAAACAGGGTGGCCCAGCTTTTGCCCAGATGCTATTATCTTGTTCCACTCTGCAGACTCTGATTTTCAGTGGACTAAGTCACTCCCCAGAGATGTCTCCTTTTCTTTCTACCAGCTACAGAGAATGCAGAATGCAGGGAATCCAGACACCTGACACGGTCACCTCACTTTGATGAGGTAGATTTCTTTTCTCTTTGTCTGACTACAGGGCAAAATAAACACCACTGGGGGTCCAAGAAAGCCAGCAACTGAAAGTTTTGTACTGGAAGTTCAAAATACTGTTAGTATTTTGACCTTTCACAGGGAGCAACGGAAGTAAAAGGAAAAATAAATTACTTGTCTCTGAAGAGTCACAAAATGCTTTTCCCCCTAAAAAGCAACCAGAAGCAAACAGGAAGCCTGAGAGAAATTACCTTCAAAATACTACAATTCCCAGCCACTGCATCATTTGTCCCTACTCTCCAGAAGTCTCTTTCTTAATCTATGTCAGAAGGTATTGGAGGTACTATTTTAAAATATTCATTACAGTAGTTTGTTCAGTAAAGACTTCAATACAAACATGCCTACAGCACAGAAGTATCAGAGAGCTACTACAGGATTGCCAAAAGCAGAAACCCACACCGATCTGGGCGCCGTCACCAGACGGATGTAGGAGTAATGACAGCGTGATGATGTCTGCTAAGTCAACCTGCTGTCTAAGAATCATATCATTAATCTCCCTTAGAATATTCAGCAGCACTGACACTCATATCCAAATAAATGGCAGGCTTTAAAATAAGTCTGTCTCAGTACTGCTTATGATGTTAGTGAGTGAACCTTTATTTTCCCTGAGGCCTTCATATTTAAATTTCTCTCAGTTATATTCAAAACAAGATGAACTTAAGACTCTTGCCCTATGAAGTGCTAGCAGGGAGCCCTAAGCCCACTGTCAGACACCAATTGCTGGGCAGACTCCAGCAGGTCAGAGCCTGAATTTCTTTTCAGCATTCAGACTTAGAGCTTGATCCAGCAAAATTTCCAAGTTTTCCTGGAAATTCCAAAAAACCTCATTTTGAAAGTCCCAAACACATTAGGACAAGAAGAGACGACCGAGTTTTAGAGCTTTACAGATCAGGCTTTGGGCTTTCAATCAGCAGCAACATACTTATTGAAGGATCCCAGCTGTCTGCTGGGACTCGGTGAGGTCCACGCTGTTCTGTGTGGACACAAACTTTCAGCTGTAAGACAGTCTTAATTTACAAGGCTTTGCAATTCATTAATTCAGCTGATGAAAATACTGCGGGGAAGCAGCAGGAGGGCCTGAACATACAATTATTTGAGTTATGTGCAGTTCTAACAACATCCTGGTGTTATCATGCTTCAAGCTATGCTTCAGTTTTCAGGTTTTACTAGCAACCCATTTAGTTGAGCAGGGTTTTTTAATATATTTTTTAAAATTTAGATCTCAGAGCATTTGGATCACACATATTTCTGGGTTGGTTTGTTGCTGTTGTTTTTCTTTATAAAAGGACTCAAAGTACTTTGTAAGTTGGAAACACTAGTATTTTAACTGTAGTCAAACAGTTCAGATGAACAGTCTTTTTTGACAATCGTAAAAACAGACATTTAAAAGAGCAGTTTACTTACTGTTTTTAACACATAGCGAGGTAAGTAGCATTTTGGATGCTAGCAGGCATAAGCTCATCTGAAGTGAAAACAGCTTACACCAGCTAACTATCTGTACCTTCATAACTATAAAAGCTCAATTTGTTATTTACCTAAGGGGAACTACAAAACAAGAATTTGATAAATTTACTAATGATGCTTCACAAACATTTACTAGGCTGACTGCAGTAGGAGAGGAAAGGAAAGAAATGTAAGGAAAATACTTTGAATCTTTTAGGGAAAGAAGTAAGACTCATGCAATGAATTTTAATCTTTGCTGAAGCAAAGGCAGAATAGCCAAGGCTGGTCAAGAAAACTGCAAAAGCTCTGACAAAGTAATACTACCGAGAGCTTAAATTCATTTTCTACATCCTTCTCTGTGTAGTCCATTTGTCTCTCGTTTTATTTGTCCCTGCTTCACACCCATTTATATGCACCATGCCTGCAAGACCTACCTGCAGGCATGGTGCATATGTAGGAGATGTCAGCATGACCAAATTGCAAATTGTGAGCTGTGGATCAGTTTGCATCTTGAACAGCACCTTGTAGCTGCAGGTGGAATTCTACCCTGTGCATACAAACAAGGTAAGAGTCCCTGGAAACGAAGGACCTAATGCAGCTATAAAAGGTTTAAGTTCACTGTTAGAAAAAATTCAGAAGTTCCTGAATTTTCCCAACCAAATTCATTTAGAGATGGTTGAGGTCCTGACTTCTCATCACTGTCAGAAATCTCTCTGCTTTATAAAGCACAAAGTCATGTGCTGAGCAGCTCTAACCTGAAACACCAGAATGCCTGTGTTGGCAACAGCCAGGTTGATTTTTGTCCCTTCCCTGTCCTTGGCTGGATGCAAGCGTATTCCGTACATCTCCAGTCGGCGGGCAATCTCCAGAAGCTGGAAGTCAGACTCTGCTGGTGTCTGTCCCCTTGAGAAAGAAAACAGAGAAGACACACGTATTCTTCACACCTCTTAATAGAGATCAACAGAGAACAAAGAGACATTTCATCAAAGAGACTGAAACTTGTCAGAGGTATAATATCTGTATGTTTTTTCTATGTCCCCAGATTTATATCAGCTAGAACAACTTTATCTTAGTCTAAACCTATACCAAAGAATCCACAGATTTTACAGTCTATTAGAAATTTTGATTGCTCCAATTCTGAGACACCTGATCCAGCTGAATTTTGAACCACTAACTTTTAACAGAATTCACTACCTCACTTTGTATTTTCCATTGGAAAAACATGCTGTATTCCTAAGACAAAAATCATAAACAGAAGTATGCAAGGATGTTGTTCATTGTAAAAGTGAATGCAATACCCAGAATGAAGCAAAACAGAAGCCATGAAAACACTAACATAAATGTTGGAAACCTATAAGCACTATATTAGTCATCATGATATCAGGCAAAAGTTTTGGTTATTACTGCTACAGAACTCCCCACAACTCAATAAAAATTTAATGTAGCTCAGAATGAAACTGTTCAAGTCTTGAAGTGTTCTTGATGGCAAAAAAAAATATTCTTCTATGCCTTATTTGTAATTCTTTTAACCACCTTCTTACTTCTAGTCTTTTCTCTAAGTCTTAGGATATCAATTTGCATCATCATCTTGAATCTTGTTCTCCCCAAATTCCTAATTCTGCAAGCACTCTGTGCTTTTCCTAAAACTATCATTAAACCCCTTCTTCATCCATCCCTAAATAAAGCATGGAAAGGTGAAAAAGCAACATTCAGTGTCCTTGAAATCCAAAAGATTGCTGTCAGAAGCGCCTAACTGATCAGTCATCATTGGCAATCATACCTGCATGCACAAAATCAGCAGTGAAGCATTTCGTATGAAATAGACTGTAAAACGATGGCTTGAATGAATATCAAAATCAATTGCTCTTTAAACATCTTGTTATGATGACGGGAGAAAGACACGAGTAACTTTCAGGAAATTCATAGCCTTGAAAGTTTTCTGAGAAGTAACCTTTGAGAAACTCAGAGGTCCAAATCTCTTTCGTACTTACGGTCTAGGATATATTTACAGTTAGAGCTACTCTAAAGGAAAAGAAGGCAAATAACAAGAACAAAAAAGTCTTACATGTGACTACGGTGAAATTCCATGATTTTGTCTTCTAGTGCTTCTTGCTGAGGTATATACTTGTTCTTCGCTAAGTGTTCACGATCTATGGTTTCATCAAAATCCCCAATCTCAGCTATGGAAAATTTTAAGAAAAGTCTATTAAAACATTGTATTAAATCTGAATTATTCAGGGAGTCCAAAAGGTGCAGGCAGCTGGGAAGAGGGCAGAGAAGCAAACATAGTTTCTTGCAAGCTGTGTCATGGTTTTGTAATCAGATTCCCACTACATTATCTTCCACACATTCCTCCCTTGCCCAAGGACTCATCCCATCCACCACAACCAAGTAAGGAGCTGTTGTATGTCAACTGAACAGGTGAAGCCACCACAGTGCTGCCTCAACTTGTGTGGGGGATAAGGGGGAAAGGGAGTGACAGGGAGGACAGCACTAATCCAGCAGAACTCACCCATCTCTCTCACATGCATGGTGGTACCCAGGTGCCAGTCCCTGGAGCAGCCAAGCACAAACTTTCCCACCAGGCCCATGCCCCACAGTGAAATATTTGGGGAAAAATCTGGAGAGATGGTTTTGTTTGCTTGTCTGAATGCAGGCATGTATTCCATCGTGAGGTTATGAAACATTTGTCTTCCTCTAATTTTGCAGCAGTTTGAGACACATTCTGTCTCCCTCCTCCTCAAAGTTGCTCCCATCTGCTGCAGTTATTCAATACTGTGTGTGCAACATTATGGCACACCCACCTTCCATTTTGCAGCCCATTCAGTGAGGCTTCCTGGGTTTTTTTGGGAGTGGGGAAGAGGCAGGCAATCTAAGTGTGGGTGCCAGATTACTATCTTGTCGCCTGCTATTCTTGGAATGCCTCTGAAAATCTTGCCATTGGCTTTTTCACTGAGCAGCCCTAGCAGCCTCTGCCTGCAAACATAATAGCAACAATGCTGCAACAAAGGCTGCTACCTCAATAATGCCACTGAAATGAAAATGCAGCACCCTCGAATGAGATCCAGGTTGCAGTCAGACACGTTGTTGTGCAGCTGACCTACGATGTCAGACCCAAATGCGGATCCTTGCCTCATCCTCACCTCAGTTCCGCCCATGTCAACAATCCCTTAATCCTGTTCTGTTCAAAATAAAAGGGTTTAGGAAAAAAAAACAACTCTCAGATGACGTTTAAAGCACTGCAGGCAATTTCCGACAAAAGTTTGCGTGGGATTAGATGTATTTGCAAATGTGGAGGAGCAGCAATAACCTTGCATAGGAAGGGAAGATGAGATCCAAAGCCTCTATGAATGACAGAGCAGTAACCTTTCAACCCAAACTGCCTGCAGCCACACGATGACTTTGTATACTAAACTACACCAAACTTTAAACTAGAAAAGGGTAGATTTAGGTTGGATATTAGGAAAAAATTCTTCAACATGAGGGTAGTAGATGACTGGAACTGGTTGCCCAGAGAGGTGGTGGAGGTCCCATCCCTGGAGATATTCAAGGTCAGGCTTGATGGGGCTCTGAGCAACCTGATCTGGTAACACTGTCCCTGCTCACTGCAGGGGGGTTGGACCAGATGATCTTCCAGCCCAATACATTCTGTGATTCTACTCTTTGGAGGCCAGAGGTGGAAAAGAGTTGATAACTAAGACTGGCTGACTTCCACCTCATCCCACCTGCTCTGAGACATACAGCTACAGAACACTACCAAATACATGAAAATTCTCCTTTCTAAAATGCCCCTTTTGTCCCCACTTCAGACACAGCTTCCACACTCCAGTTTTACTCACTCTAGTGTCACATATCTCTGGGGTCCGTTTTTAACTCTGACTCAAATGAAGGGCAAGTTTCTCTTATTTAATGAAACCATAAGCCCACTGAGGTTTGCAAAACCTCAAATAACACGGGCCTCGATTCTCTAAAACGCAGTTCGTGCCCTGTATGTCCTTGTACATGGATGGACTTAAACCACCTGCTACAGGGCTTTCTTCAGAGCCAAGAGTACAGAAGAGTCTTATTTCATCTCTCCATGATTTCTATAATGTTCTCTGCATTTGTCAACTGCAAATCCATTATCAAAATTGTCCTCCTGGCTTTCAAGCTACTTCTGAATTTGTTATCTCTGACCTCATACTTAACAGCTTTTCCTTCTCTCCTCAGCCCTCCTTTCCACCTTAAATGGCTTTCTGGTATGACTCTCTCCAGAATGAGAAGGAGTTATATTTTGAATATTGTCAGCCTTACATATAACTCTTCTTTAAAATCTTCTGATGTGTTTTAGCCAAAGATTGGTTTCTACTGATGCTCCATTTTGTCTTATCTTGCAAGACCATTAGACCACGGTGCATTCTGGCTGCATTAGCACTTCTGATATGTCTAATGCTTTGTATTTCAGGTCTTTTCCTTTAATCAATTCATCTTCTTACTTCACACACTCACTTTGCTGCATCACTTGTGGTATCAAAGTGTTCTCTCACTTCTAAAACTTTCTGTAATGCTTTTAAGGTATTTTTAAACAGAATGTTTCAAATATAAATGTCATTCTGTAATATACATGCTAATTTTATAGAAACCTATTTGCTGTCATATTATGATTTCACATAAATAACAGTCTATAACATTGCCATCAGCTTGTATACCTAATATAAGGGCCTCCTGGAATCAGATATCCCCCATGGAAACCACTTGCAGGCACAGCATCGATAAGACATACAATACCTAACCTCCCGCATTCTCAATCTTTGCAGTTTGATATCATTACTCTTATCAGCTGCCTAGTTTTGCTTCTGTTGCAGATAAATATGTAATATTTTTTAAGCTACTGAATCGCAAGCCTGAGAGAAAATAAATACAAAAGACAGCCATGTGGGTAAGATACAACTACAGACTCTTACCAGGGAAAATTTTCACAGAAAAATGTACATGAGAAACAAGATGGACAAATAAATGAGACACAGTCACAAACTTCTAGCAGAGGTTTTTAGCAAATACTGTTACACAAAAAAGAGGAGAGGGGAAAAACCATAAACAGCAAAAAAAAAGTCAGCTCGCACTCAGGAGATGGCGAGGGGAAGCAGCATTGCAGGTACACTATGAGGCACAACATCCCTCTGCCCAAAACGGCAGCTCAGATTCTGTGAATACTGTCTCACTTTTGCATGATGAATCTCTCAGCTCTCTCCTTCTGACATGATGGAAAACCTCCATTTTTCAGTACAGAAATATCTTACCTGACTCTCCCCATAAGAAGAGTACTAATTGATTCCTAAAATCCAAGTTCAGAATCACTCTGCACCTCAAGCTCATGGGTGAAGGGGACAAAGAACTAGAAAGATTTCAAATGCATGATGATAACTTCCAGCAACTGAGGAAAATTATTTAATCCAACAGCATAATGCACCTCAGCAGCATAACAGCAATGGTAGTGATTTGCATTTTTGCACACTTTGAAATGAATACACCTTGCCAGCCTGTACAGGTGTGTCAGGGGAAATGGCCAGGTACATAACAAAAGAATTTTGAAAAAAAAACTTAATTAAATTTGAGTTTGACTGTGGGGAGAAGGGAAAGGGACAGCTCATAAAGGTGAAAGGACATCCTGTATTTTATCCTCTTAAGCTGTTGCTTTAGGAAAACAAGCTGGCAGCTGCCCTCTGAGCAGTTCAGACACCAGAGCTATAGATGGCTCAGTGAAGACGAGTATCCATAAAGTCTTGAAAAAGAAAACATACACTGCCTTTCAACTGATCTGGAAGCTAAAAGAAGCTTTGATGTGAAGAACAAAGTTAATGTATGATTCTACTGAATAGTCTTATTGTGCATACTTTGCAATTAAAAAAAAAAAAACCAGCTTAAAATCTGTTGGTTTTTTTCTTCCCTATCAGTTTCCTCTTAGGACTGTGATTTAGTCGGGCATTCTAAGCATGTTTATTTATTACATTCTCTAGACAGCATACAATTCTCCAGGAATTCGAATGCTCTGCTGACATGATACAAAGTATCATAAAACAGGAACTCACGATTAAAAAATCAAACTGTTTGCCACTGCCTGCAAAGTTTGCTTTTTAAATGATTGCAGGCAGACTATCAAATGCTGTGCTTTAAAAATGCAAATCCAGTGTCCAGAAGCTCTGCTTTATTTGAAAAAGTAAATTATCTGTATTTGAATTCCACTATACAGAACTACAATAAATTGTCCACGTGGCTTAAACCTGTCCCTGCGGCAGCTCCTAACAGGTAACCCAGTAAAGCATGTCCAACCAATCACCCTGCTCATCCTTTTGGAAAGGAGGAAAAAGGGAACTTACATTGCACTATGTGCGAGATTAAGAGGGCAGTGCTGGTATCGTTACACGTTAGCCTTCCCTGTGCCAGATCCTGCTTCACTTGCAATGCAAATAGGTACCTGCAAAACAACAGTGAGCAAAGAGTTACACAAA